TTATACTCTCTGTATCTTTGTAAGCACTCAGTCCAAATACCTTTGTGATTTTTTTCCTTTTATTTATTTATTTTGCCTATGCATCTAAATCACCAGAAAATTGTACTATGATGATGCTACAGAATATAGTGATTATAGTGCCAATGAAGATAACACTTGCTAAATGTTTTCTTTGTGCAGGCCACTGTTAGATGCATATATGTGATACCCTTTGTTTCTACAGCTATATGAAGTAGAAAGTAGCATCTCCACTTTACAGATAAAAAAATGGATGGAGCCTTAAAAAGTTAACATAGTTTATCCAAGTTCACACAGCTATGTGGTGATGCTAACACTGAATATTCAAGTCTTGGGAGCCTATTTTCTTTCCACGTTCCCATTCTACCTTCCACCTTTATATCTCTTACAGGATTCACTAGATACTCCTCAAAGATTCCATTGTTGGATCCCTGCTAGGGAGAGTTATAATTGTTGTAGTAACTCTTGCTATTTAAAGAACACTTAATTTTATCCCCAAGGCAAAAAAGTAACATTTCCAACTTTATAGTATTAAATGATGTATTAAACAAATGATCTCTAGTAGCTGTTTTTAATTCTATTAATAAAGATTCATATAAATGAATGAAAGTCGTGACTTATCTTTTGGCTGAAATTTGATTTTTTTCTTAATGGTTTCTATTTAATTCAACTTTTTAGACCCTTCAAATCCCAAAATATGATTCAGTGATAACTTCTATAATACTTAAATCTAATCTCACATTCTAGAATGTGCCTACTTGAGGCCAGAGGAGTTCTAGAAACAGTAATGGGAAGGTGCCCCTCCGTTCTTCAGTCTTATTACACATGTAACTGTCTTGTAGTTTTCCACAGATTTTGGCATTACGCCACTGAGGAGAGGAAGACTGGAAGATGGGAATCTAGTTTTGTAATTTATAAGAATATAGCTGAGTTCTGATGACCAGAGTTGTGATTCAGGTCTGAGTAAGTAAAATGCCCTATGTGTGTTAGGTAACTGCAGAACTGATGGTCAGCTCTCCAGAGCATCCTATTTCAGTTATCCAGCTAAAACCCTACACCTAGAGTATTTTATGAAACGAGGAAAGGTGAATTAGTACCTACTTTACCTATTCCTACTTCCATTTCTTCTCTGATTTGGGATGAAATAAAAACTGTCAGCTGGGCACTAGTGGCTCACGCCTGTAATCCTAGCTACTCAGGAGGCTGAGATCTGGGGATTGTGGTTCAAAGCCAGCCCGGGCAGGAAAGTCTGAAAGACTAGTATCTCCAGAAGTGGCACTGTAGCTCAAGTGGTAGAGTGCTAGCCCTGAGGGAGGAGGATGGGGGGGGTTGGGAAGGGGAAACAAAGGAGGAGGCTGCAATGCTTGATAAGAAATGTACGCATTATCCTGCCCATGTAATTGTAACCCCTCTGTACAGTATTTTCACATAAAAAAAAAAAAGAATGCTAGCCCTGAGCAAAAGGAGCTCAGGGATAGTACCCATTCCCAGAGTTCAAGCCTCAAGACCAGCAAAAATAAATAAATAAAGCTAGCTCAGACAGGAAAGTCCATGAGACTCTTATCTCCAATTAACTACCAGAAATAAAAAGGCTGAGAATGTAGCTATGGCTGAAGTGGTAGAGCACTGGTCTTGAGCAAAAGAAGCTCAAGGGCAGTATGGCAGTACCCAGGTCCTGAGTTCAAGCTG